ATGCAGAAATTCAAGTTTGTTCACTCATGCAGATCCCACTTTATCAGCAGTAACCTGAGACACAGATGTGACACTTTAAATGGAGTATTTCATATACATGTACAAATTTATCAAAAATGCATCACTTCAAATTAGTGTCAAATGATGTCAAAAGGACAAATTTCATGTACAAAATGTTCAGGAACAACACATATTCTTCCATCAAAAATTCTCTGAAATTTGCCAAGACTTCTTTCTTCAAAAATATTCACATTGAATTTTTGTCCAGATCTGCACAATCTTCTATCACAAATTCCCTGAAATATAAAGTTTGAAACACAGAGTTTTTATAATTACCATGCATAATCAAGGGAAACCTGAGATGGAGAATTTTTTTCCTGCCAATTTTTTTCATGATAACTAGTATGAAAAGGAAGCATCCTATTAGTGAAACCAATGGTCTTCATGCCAAAATGAATTGATTTATTGTTTACTTAAATTTTATTACTTTTTAGTTTTCTCCTCATTGAAAATAAATTTCTCCTTCATTTGTGCCAGGTTTAGTTAAAACTGGTCCAGTAGTTCTGTTGAGAAAGTCTGATACATGTATTAAGGTATTCAGTGTATACTGAATGGATTTTGAACTGTTTTGAATCATTTTAAACTAGTTAAAAATGTATTGCTAGATAATGATGAAAGGGAAATGAACCAAATTCACATGACTGATAACATGAAAGAAGCTGGTCATTTTGCACTTTAACATTTTTTGAAGAGTTATCTGCCCTTGATGAAAAACCCAAAAATTTAATTTTATCAAAGTATCTGTGGCAAATGATTCATTTTATTTCATATTTTAATAAAGAGAGAGTTTATGCATATTTTCACCAAGAGCTCTACATGAAATTCAAATTACTTCTTACAATATCTTAATAAAACCTGCACTCCCCATAGACTTCATTGTAAAATTCAAGGTGCAATATATTTGACAATTCCTTTGGTGGAGTATTTTTATTTAATAATACCAGGGGTTTTGAAAAGACACCAATTGATGCAAAATTCTTGTATAATATTCAAAGAAAAATATACAAAAATTACTAAACATATATTCTAGATGTTTATCAAAACTTGTTTAAGAAGAAGTGTACAACAGAATATATAGACATTAAAATGTAGCACACAGTTCCTTTAAGTATTGGAACTCTACAACTCCAAGGAAAACGACAATAAAGTTCAAACTACGTTGTGTATGTCCTTAAGGGATCAGAAAAGCTCTCTTGAACCATTGGATCAGATGAACTTCCAGGTCAAAACAGAAAAAGAGACCGAAGTTCAAGAAAGTCAAGCCAGGCTGATGGATTTGAGAAATAATGCATCTATGATCTACATTTTATTTCATTTGTCACAAGTCCTTTTTTTTGTGGTCAACAGAGTTTGGCTTTAAATTTTTTGTTCTATCTATTATTCATGTACACAATATGATGAATAATATAAGGCAAACTGCCAAAAGACATTCTGTTATATGAGTGATGAATACAAAACCAATAACACTATTAATAATTATGCCCTGAACATTTTACATTAAATAGTACATAATTATATTAATGCTATGCTATGCATACAGTAAGCATAAATCTACAGGAGACCCACAAGGAATTTACAAAAATATTAAATGCCTAAGAAAATAAGCAAAAAAAAAAAGGTCTTTGACCCCCTAGGAAAAACAGACCCTTGTAAAATGGTTAGGACTAGTGTCATGCATCTGAAGTGACTTGTCCTGGCTACATCCCCCCCCCCCTCCTTCCAATGCCAAGGGGCCCTGATTCAATACATTGCATGGGACCCCTGGTCAATTTCATTCATTAATATCATGGGCTGACTGTAGCATTATCTTTAGGGGAATTTTCAAATCCATTGTTTTTCTCATCTCTCAACCAATCACATTAAGCCATATTCTATGATAAACAACTTGTAACAGGTGATTCTTCCTGTTTACATTATCATATCTAAATATTTCTGAACGCTTCAATTTGATTGGTGCTTCTCAATGAGAAGCAAGACTTAAAATATCACATGAAATTAGCCAGGACCCAGGACCCCTGGCATTGCAAGGATGTCCCCCATGATACTTTTAAAACATGTCTATCCAAGTGTTTTAATGAGTACAATTGTTTTGTTGTGTACATTTTATTCATATGTGTATTTAACTATTTATATATGACTATGACCCAAAAAAACAAAAAACCAAAACAAAAAAAAAAAAACAGCGGCATACTGAATATTTGACTGATGCTTACAAAATAAGAGCCCTAAGGGCCATATATCTCACCCAAGCACTGTGGCTAGGAGAAAAAAAAGCAGAAATCAGTTCAGTATTGAAAAGTTTAAATACATATTATTAGTGGTCCCAACCTACCCCTAAAGTGGTGGGGCATGATTTGAAGAAACTGGAATTTACACTTAGTGAGGAAACTTCCATATTTATTTGACTAATTGTGGCTTTCAAAGATTTTTTTAAAGATTATTTTCCTATAAGTTTTAACTTTCATTGTGGCCCCAACCTTCCCCGAGGGATCTTGATTTAAACAAATTTGAATCTACACTATCTGAAGAAACTTCCATATAAATATGACTAATCATGACTTTGCTGTTCTTGAGAAGATTTTTTTAAATTTTCCCTATATATTCCTATGTAAAACTTTGATAATCCATTATAGCCCCACCCTACCCCTGATTTAAATAAACTTGAATCTACACTACCTGAGGATTTTTCCACAAAAGTTTCATCTTTCCTGGCCCACTGGTTTTTGAGAAAAAGATTTTTAAAAGATGATATTAATTTTTCACTAAATTAATTTGTAATTATCTCCCTTTGGAAGGCAGTGTGACTTTTATTTGAACAAACTTGAACCCCTTTTACCCATGGATACTTTGTTGTTAAGTTTGGTTGAAATACATGTAGGTCAAGTGGTTCTTGAGAAGAAGTAAAAAATGTGAAAAGTTTACAGACAGATGGACACTAGACAAAATGTGATTAGAAAAGCTCATTTCAGCCTTTGGCTCAGGTGAGCTAATAAAAAGCAAAGTAAAAAAAAAAAGTTATCGCCTACCTACCTTCCCTAATATTTTTGGCATGTTACCAAAAACAAACACATTATAATTTTATAATTGGCTTAAAGGGAGAACAGTCCCTCATTCCAGCTGAACCCAGATTCTCCCCACAAAGAGAAATACTTTTTGGAAAATGCTAAAGTTGTCTATTTAACAAAGGCTATATTTTTTAATATTTATCAAGGACTTAATCACCTTACCAATAATTTTTTAAATAGAGCAGCGGGTATCCCTTGCACTGTATTCCCCAATTCTTGCTTCCGGGCAGAATTTATTGTTCAATAGTTCCATTTCCTATCTGAATTCTCTTTGAATCTGTGGCAGAAAGACAAACTGTATGCAAAATCTAAAAAATATCAACGGGTACATGTACGAGTATGATTATGGCATGTACAAAGGAGTAGACATGGTAGATGAGAAATAATTTTGGTTAGGAAAAACATTTTTCACCATGTTAAGGTCACCACCTTTTCATAAAGGGGTGGGGGTAGAGGTGGCAAATTTTGTCAAGTCAGATTATTTATTTATTTTCAGCATTCACAGGACAGAATATTTATTTCCAGTTGATCTAAGAATGATTATTTACTTTCTTTTCTTGTCCAAAATCAGAAAACCACTTAACCACATGCAAGAAGGGTGTGTGTGTGTGTGTGTGGGGGGGGGGGGGGGATATCACATTGTTTTCCTTTATTTCTAGCAATGCCAGTGGATGAAGTTAATTTACTTAAAAATCAAGGTTAAAATATTTATTTCCTTAATCTATCAGTCCCCCCAATCAAATGATCGTCCCTATATGCTCTTAATCAGGCAGGTGGTTTTAATAAAGTACTAGTATGTGCTTAATCTCACATTTATGCACATGATCTATTTCTGACAGCTGTCTGAGGCAATTCGAACTACCTGTTTGTTCGGTAGCTCTAGCTTAATTACAATAAACTGACAGCTGATTCAAGAGACATTATCTGAATGATGCCAGTCATTTACATGTACATTAATGATTAGTCTTTACTTACCGCTTATAGCCTAGCTAACGTTGGACTTTCTGTCTTCCACTTTGTTTACATGATCGAACAGCGCACATGGCCTTTTCACGTGACGATCTCCCTCGCATCGACGCTTGTTTTCCGTCACGCTTCAAATAATATTTCTCCACGCTACAAATAATATTTCTCCACGCTCAAGATAATATTTCCTTCACGCTTCAAATAATGTGTGCAGTCACAATTATAATCGCGTCTCAACATAATTATTGTTTCAACAGGAGGACAGAGTTTTCGTTCCTGTCACTAGAAAAGAAGTTATCTTTCCTGTTGAAAAATAAAAATAATTGCGAACAAGGGCGCACATCATTATTATTGTTGCAAAGATTATAACGTCGACTTGGTACATTAAAATTTTTAAGCGTGTACATTTTTATTTATTTTCAGTCAGTACATTATTGTTACAGGAGGTGAAGTCTTATAAATTGTTGAAGCAAGAATAATTATAATCTTGGTGCAAAATAAAAATTATGTGTACGAATCGACTGACAAGATTATAATTTGGAGGTGTATAAAAATAATGTCTCCGTACTAACTGAAAAGATTATAATTGTAAAGTGAGAATAATTATTATAATGTAGGGGCAAAATAAAAATAATGAGTACACATGGACGGACAAGATTATAATTGTTGTGGGAAAATAATAATGTTAAAAAAAAAAAAAAAAAAAAAAAAAAAAAAAAAAAACAGATTTTTATTTTGGGATGAGATAATTATTTTTGGTATAATTATATAGGAAAAAATAATAATAATGTGGGGGTACCCTACGGCTTTCCATACATTTCTTATCATGTGTTTAATGGTCATCAAAAATAGTTTCTCATAATTTTTCTTTTCTATGATCTGAAAAAGTAACATCTATTCTTTATTCAGAAAATGGAAAAGGGCGGATCTAGTGGAGTGGAGAACACAGCGTTTAGTAGTGAGGATGAGGTCCAAGTTTCTGTAGTGTACAAAGATGAAAAGGTATAAAGCATTAAGAAAATCTAGGAAATAGACTAAATAATGCATTTCAATAAATAATGGTGTTAAACGGGAAACGGATAAATCAAAGCAACGGAGATAGGATTACCCCATCATACAAAGGATTAAGAAATTTTTTTTGTACATCTGTGCATACATATTTACAATATACTCAATATAAACAAAAATAGTTTATGATAAAACGTTTTTCAGATTTTTTAGATTCATTTTTCTTCCTGGGCAAAAGTTTGGATCTTGTCCGCGAGCATTCGGAGTTGTACTTGTGCTAAATCTGTCAGAGAGAGAGAGAGAGAGAGAGAGAGAGAGAGAGAAAGAGAGAGAGCACTCTTTATTTTCGGAAGTGAACCTTCCAATTAAATGGACAAAGATTAAATGATAAAAAAACATAGATATAAAACAAATCAAACAAACCCTACAGGTAAATTTTAACAAGTGAAAAATGAATGCTTAACAATTTCTCTGTCTAAAGTAAAAACAGAAATAAGCAAAGATCCAACACATCACAAAAGTGAACTAGTAAACTCAAGTAAGAAGCGTGCTTGATCTTTAGATAACGTCATCAGAAATTGATAAAGTTTACACGAGAATTTCTACGATGCTTTCTGATTATTACAAGCCATACCTTCATTTAACATTTTTGTCTTTGCCGTCACATTAAATCAAATTGACACTAACATAATTTTGTTTGTCCAAATTTTTTATTAGTGTTAGGAACAAGCAAAAACAAAAGGGGGGGGGGGGTAGGCAAATTCTGTCGTTTTTGCACTTCCTCAACCCTCAAACAATTATTTCAAGATTGACTATTCTTAATTGAATCATTATTCAAGTATTTAAGATATGAATTAGCCGTTCCGTATAATTTTGATTTCTATAAAATTATCGCATAAATGCATACTGCCTGCATATGGCATTTCCCCTCTGATAAGATAAAAAAAAATGTCAACCGGTCTGGTGAGTTAGTGGTAACTTTGCAAAATGCATTTTACAGTGCTTTGTTATTTTTTCGTTTGAAAATTCTGCTGTCTCCAAATTTTTTTTATGTTATCGGGTAAAATAACCGATTTGAAGCGTCTTGATTATTTTATTTTTATGCAACTTTCACATTATACTTGTCTTTATAACAAATTTCTTTTGCGATAATTTACAATGTGAGGAAATCTGCTACCTACGTAAGAAGTATCTGATCCAATACCAATAATTCTTTTTTAATGAAGCTTAGAGAGTACCTTAAACTAGATAGAATTAGTGATTTGTAGTTCGAGTAAGGTACGTATAGAACGCCAAATTAACATATATTCAAATATTTGCACTCATCTTCAAATATTTGAACCTGTCTTCAAAATTTGAACCTATCTCCAAATAAAATGAGGACATAATATTTGAATAAAAGATAGGTGTGAATGCATTAAGATAGATGTAAAAAATTTAGACTATCTTTAAATAATTGAACCTACATGTAGGTTCAATTAATTAACAACAATCTGTAATTGAATAACACCTACATTTAACGAAAAAGGTAAAGATAAACTGTGATCGATCTCAAAAATTCTTTAAAACAGTAAAAATTAGTAAACAAGGAATAAAACACGAACCCCTGGAAATTCCAGATGTTGGATCAGGTGTCTAGGAGGAGTAAGCGTCCGGGATGGACTGGTCACATCACCGTGAGCCCTATGTATTGATCAGGTAGACGGAATAATCCGTAGACACATTAAGTATGAAAACAGAGGTTATTGGTATGAAACATATCGGTCAAAATACGACCCAAAGATAGCCTGTATTTTGCTAAAAAGGTAATTATAATGACCAAAGAATATGCGAAATGCTGATCTAAAACGAGGGTTTTGAAATTCCTGTATCATCAACTTATTTATTAGTAGCCATGCTCTTGAGTATCGAATCAGTTGGACATAAACACCATATGCAGGTGATGGTTGAATATTACTATATAAATAAGAAAAGTTGACGATGGAAAAGCTGAAATCATCTCTTTTGTCATACAGTTAAGATGTAAGTTGACCTTTATCGTCTATATTCATCAAAACATCTTTATTTGGAACAGAAGTGGCGTACTATGTGGTGTCTTTTATTTCGAGTCCATTGGGATATATCGAGTTGACATATGAATGTTATGTTAAAGGGTGAAGATAATGAACAGTAATCAATCTCATACATCCAGTGAACAAAAGGAATCGTGAATGGGGCAAAAACAAAGAGCCCTGAAAACACTAGCTGCAATAATGTAGCCCTCTCCGATTTTTTTAAATCTGACATTATCAGGAGAGGGCTACAATTCCACTGCATCTCCGTAATGTGCAAATATATTTTTTAGATACGGGCGACTGCAGGCAAAATAAATTGTTTTTGCATTCAACTTACTTCTAATGAGACGCAATTTTTATTCACTATCAACATCATAGCCCTTTATACGCGAAAACCAAGTAAAATAAATCTGCGTGTTTACCAGTCGTTCTCCTCAGCAGTCATGACAGTTCTCGCGTGATGTACTGAGACTTGCGCTTCAGAATCACTTGATAAAGTAAATGTCGGTGTTGATAGATGTTTGTGTTGTATGATATCACTAAACATCGATAAATAAAAGCATGCCATGGGATATTTTTTTCATAAACAGTGATATTTATGCTTAAAATAAGGGAAATCCTAAACGATTCGCTCCCCTAGATCCCGAATTCTCATTGGTTGTCCCAAAATAAAATCGATCAAGGTCAGTAAACATGGCGGATAAATTCAAGTTGTGATGTTGACAGGAAAAATAACCGACATACGGATTGTTCTGTATATTTTTGGATCAATTCATGTCTTGCATAACTACATTTTATGAGTTCATTTAAGATATGTTAATAAAATACCCACTTACTTATAATTTGAGCCGAAGTTTGTGCGGTAGTGAATCACTCCCGCACTTGCACCATTACGGAGATCCTAAGGAGTTGTAGCCCCCCCCCCCCAAAAAAAAAATCGCAGAGGGCTACATTATTGCAGCTATGAAAACACCAGGGGATCAGATGCCTGGCAGGAGTAAGTATCCCCTGTCGGCCAGTCACACCCGCCGTGAGCCGTATTTATTGTTCAGGTAAACGGAGTACTCCGTAGTCAAATTTAGTATAAAAAGCAATGACCTAACAAATGGTATGAAACACGTCAGACAAAATACGACTCAAGGATAGGTTGTATTTTCAAACGAGGTCACAATAACGACTGTAGAATTTGCGAAAATCTGTCTTGAAACGGGATTGTTGAAATCCTTGTAACATTAACTTATTTGTCAAAAGCTTGCTTCATCGTATCCATAGCATGCTTTTGCGTATCGATTCAGTTGGAGACATTAACACCATATGCAGATAAAATTGGAATAATGGTACATAAAAATGGAAAATTGACGATGGGAGTGCTCCATCTTGTTTGTCATACAGTTTAGTTATTTTTTGGCAGTTATAACTTCTACAGTCAGTAAAATATCCAAATATGAAACAGATGTGGCAGATTCTGCAGTGTCTTTTATTTCGAGTTCACTTGGATATAAGTCGACATATTGTTAATTGATAAGTCGTCAATATAGCTAGATGTAGAGGTGAAGGCCACAGCAAGTGTTTTATTGTTCTGAAGTAGAAGTTTTTAGAATAAATTCTGCTCCATAGGCATATACAAACATTTCGGCTAATAAAAGAGGACAATTAATGCCCATCGAAATTTCAACAGATTGTTGGAAGGCCTAGTTTTCAAAGACTATACAGATGTTGTCAATGAGGAAATCCAGCATCCTTTTAATATCAACCTCAGAGTAGGTATGTGTAGAAAAGTGATTTTTTGTAATCGAACCTGGGTTTAAATTAAGTACACCAATTTTTGATTGAATTACACCGATCTTTGAGTCAATTACAATAGGTTCAATTGAATTATATCTATATTTAAAATTTCAAATTATTTGAATATAAGTACAGTTGATTTAAAGATAAGTACAATTCAAGTAAAGATAGACTACATTAAAACATCTCCACGAAAGATTTGAAGATCTATACAGATCAATTTTAAATGCACCTATCTTTGTATCTATTGTACCTATCTTTAATTCTAGGTATTTGTACCTAAAATTCTATTACCTTTTTTTCAATTCAATTGTACATGTTTCCAAATGAATTAAAATTTGGTATAATATGATTAACCTTATCTCCAATTCCTTGGATTTGCGTAATTCATTTAGAGATACAACTGATTTTAAGATGGGTACAAATATTTGAAGATAGATGTAGATATTTGAAATCTGTATAGTTATATAATAACTATGCGTTCTTTACGTTCGTCATTTTTCATGTTAAGTGGATTTTTCCTTCAAATTTTGGAACAATACCTCCTTAATATAATACATAAAATAAAAGTGAAATCATAAGACTAAAAGACCCTCTAGTTTTGGGAGCAGAATATAGCAAAATGCCTAATACATTTTAGTTCATTATTTCTATTCAGGCTAAATTCTTGCAATCACTCTTCACTATTCTTTCCTCGGAACATGACGTTGAGCACCAATATTTCTAATTTTCATCTCTGTACAAATCAATTTGTAATCATTAAATTTCATGTTTATTTCTAAAAAGTTTTGATCCAGTTCAAAAATTTTCTATTTGAGTCCAAGATTTCCAGCTTTTGAGAATTATTTTTTTTTCAGCTTCCTTCAAAAGAAGATACAAGTGAGGCGCCTGACACACGGCTAGGATGGGGGACATGGAAACCAAAGTAATGCATAAACACTGCAAAAATTATCAAATATTTCAAAACCACATTGTAAGGTTATAAATAATTGAATCCATTTAATTTCTGACCTAAGCTCAGACAACCTTTACTTACATGACATTCTTTCTGCATTTGGATCTTAACTTCATGAGTGAAAACAAATTTCCGGAATATTATTATCTCAAAATCTTATTCATTTCAAAGGCGAACGACTTACTTTGTGATTTTTTTCTGCAAAATCAAATTGTAAATTTTACTGAATAATATTTTAATGGATTTTGATTTTTACAATTTTCATGCTCTCATCTAAATTGTAATCATCAAATGTTTAAACTGTAAGAAGTAACATAATGATTAATACATGTAATGCATTTTTACTTACCCGCAACAGATGCAGAGTTTTCATGTTTTCTATCCTCTTGATATGATTGTGACACTGTAAATAATGGCAAAATTGATAATTAATCACGTTTTAAAAATGAGAAAGCAATTTTAATGTAAACAGATCCTTTGATCCTCACATCAATCGAAGGATCTGAATCTAATGAAATTAAATATAAAAGGGTGCATCGCTCTGTCTCTTCAACTTAGATCTCTGCAGTTCCTCAACAAGATGTATCTCTTTGTTCCGTGGGTCTTCAGCCTATGGTTAATACAAGGGTTCACAGTGAATGGTGTCGCCAATGCCGCTCTACCCGCCATTGAGAAACAGTTTACGATTTCCTCCACAAAGTCCTCGGTGGTGGCCAGTGCTCAGGATTTCGGTTCTTTGGCTGTGGGTTTGTTCGTCAGTTTCATTGGATCCAGGCTCCACAAACCCCGTGTTATGGCCATTGGCTCCTCTATTATGGCAATTGGATCTTTTATCTTCATAATTCCACATCTGATTGAAGAGTATAAATACAGTGGTGAGATCAATCATTTACCTTACCACAACAGTATGGAAAAGAATTCAAAGGAGATGGGCGAACATAGCTTGCAGAAAGCCTATAGCTTCAGAAATATAAAAATCATGTTCAGTTTGTGAATTTAATATTTAGAGTAAAGTTCTCATTATTGAAATTTATGTAATTGTGATAAACAAAACTTTTCTGAGGAAAATTTTCTCGGCAAAATTTATTCTTTTATTAAAAAAATAATGTGGTATTCATGGGGTTCGAACCCTAGCAACAAAAATCCTGAGAATCATTTTCTTTCGAGACTAGCACGCTAACCACTAGACTACACAGGTCCTGACGAACAGTGGCATTTAAATCATGTTTGTGATATGACCCTTGACTTAATGGACTTCAAGTATTTCTCGAAAAGATGCGAATGTTATGTCATAAAAGTAGATTTTTAAGGTATAGTGGGTCATTGCTCCATATTTTTGGTAACCAAAAAATGTGTATTTTTATGCAAACTTTGAGGATTAACTTTCAAAAAGGTGGAGCGAAGACCCACTCATATCGAAAAATAGTGTTATAGTATGCGAAAATGACTCTTTTTGCCCGCTTTAGTGTGTGTCTAATATTTCACAGGCAGATAATTTCAATCTTTGAGGGATTTTTGCAATTTGTAGAGATTTTACATAAAGTATATTTTAATGTTAGACGAAATATCAAGGAAACTTTTGATATAATAGAAATTTAATTTTTCATCTTCATGTCTGTCACACTATAGGCTTATCGCTCGTCATGTTCACCCATCTCCTTTCGAAGAAAATGTTCTTGAAGCATTTTATCTTAGATCTTTTTATCAATGTACATAATTGTTTATTCTTTTTAAAAACAATAATTTACTAAAATACATTTATAGCACTAAGTAGCAACATTTCAGATTTAATTACAAATTTCAGCCGTTACTTTGAAAAACTCTTCTAATACACAGAAATGTTGACACACGGAAGACTTGGACAATTATATAAAATGAAACGCGATCTTAAAAATTCCCTTTCAATATTCTAAATATTGCAAAGTAGATGGGCGTACTTGGCGTGCAATCTGCAGTAATCATGTGTGCGAAACATTTAAGGTTTATATGTCCACGATTTGGTCGGCTGACCAGAAGTGGACAGATTTTACCAAGTAACACGCATAGGAAAATGTTTAGATTTACATTGAAATAGCTTTCAAATTTGAAATATTTTAGTCCACTTATCTTTATAGTTACGATGACACAGTAATACTTCACATAAATAATAAATACCTAACAAGATAATAGCGTATGATATATGAAATGAAGTTTCAATAGGTTTGAAAAATTGCTTTCGCTCCCCGTGCAAGTGAACAAAAATTATCTCTTTTAAAACTTATAAATCAGTAAATAAAATTCACTTGATTGTTTGTATAAAAAAGAAAAAAAAAATACATTGCTCCATGCGAGGATCGAACCAAAAACTTCTCGACGGACTGGTAACGCATGCTAATGAGCTATCATCGCTACAAAAACACTTAGGAATTTAAAATGACAAAGAAGCAACGCATTTACACATTGGCATTTTTGGGGGGAGTTCATTTTTTATAGTCTCTGGGTCTTCTCTCCATTTTTTACAAATGTTTGTTCGTTTCTTTGAATACAAATGCACACAAATGTCTTTTTAAAATCGTGGAGAGATGACCTAGAGATAACAAATTTTTAGAAAAACGTGTTTAAAAAATGTAACATTTTGTACCAAATGACGCATCTAGCCATGTTTCAAGTTATTTTTAAGGAAATCAAAACACATTATTGGGAAAATGTTTTCCTTTCCTATTTCATAGGAACATGATACATCAAAAGAATGTTAAAATTTAATTTTACAGTTCAATAAAGTTTTCACTTTTCAAGTGCGTTCCGATTCCTGCATGCCGAATGTCAATCAAATACGCCCTCATTCTTTGCGTACATGTTTTTGCATTTTCTTCAGATGTGTCGACTGCATCGAATGCAACAAGTGTCTGTAATGGAACAATGAGCACATCTAAAGACCACGATAAATTGTGTGAGTCCGACTCCCCGGGAGACAGGTTTCTCTCAGCTATAGTCATCGCACAGGTGATACACGGCATCGGGTTCACCCCTATGTATTCCTTAGGAATAGTCTATATAGAGGAGAACGAAGATCCGTCTCTAGCAGCGGTTTATATAGGTATAGCTAAGGAACTTCACCATTTTGACGGATTTTGATATCATAGGACACACATTGATTTTCAGAAGTATTGAATGTTTTTGTCCCTTCTTTACCGTAGATTTTCATTAAAGCGGAAACTTTTAAAGTTTTTTAAGGGGGTTGATAATTGCATTCAAGTTTTTATACCTTCATTTTGTTATGGGAGGAGGGTGTCTGAAAATAAATTTAGTGCTGAAGTGAGTTCGAATACTTAGTTTTTCATCGATTCATGAACATAATCATCAGACTTATTTGCTTTTAATAAAGTCGTTAATTGGGTTCCAATTTCTATATGTTATCATTTCATTGTACACATTTAAGGAATGTTTTTAAGTTTGTGTGAGTTATTGGTGTGTAAATCACACAGACTTGTCAGGTAGGCATATTTCATGAAGCGCGCTAGCGCTTCATGAAAAATATGCCTACGTGCAAGTCTGTGTGATTTACACACCAATAATTCACACTAAACTTAAAAACATTCCTTATATTTACATTTTACATGCTTAAATGCACCAAAAATATACTCAGTGTTTGAATTTCTCGCTGCCCTATATCGTCATATTTTTATTAACGTCTCTGTAGCCTCATTGTGACGTCACTTTAGCTCGAGTTTCGACGTCTATATTTCTACGCGTGAGTATACACAAAAATGACTTTCAAATCAATTTCACAGTTGGCTTAGTAGAAAAACACAGCAAATGTAAATATATTATTATAAAATCCTTACCTGCCATATGGATTTCTTTTTAAAGCTATAAATATAACTGTTTAGCGCAACAACAAAAAATGAACACATTCGATTGGCATTTAAGCCAATGTATCTGTTTGCTTTTTTCAACTGTATGAGTACCAGCATCCCCTTGGTTAACTTATTATTCCAGGACTGAATTTTGCTGGTGCTGCTATTGGTGTGGCTGCTGGCTTTTTTGTTGGGGGACAGGTTCTACAGAATTATTATGTGGACTTTGATCGAGTAAGGTAAATGACATTTCTAAGAGACTCGCTTTGAAATGTCAAAATCAAAATACGGTAAACAGCATAAAATGAAACACTGTCTATAATGTATCCCTATTTTTATCCTAACTTATTGAACAGTGAGTCATTATTTACGGACATAACAAAGAAATTGTGACTGCTAATTAAGTAGAAAATGACCAGTAATTATTCATCGGATATACAAATTGTAAGATATGAAACTTTCATTTGAAAATGCAGTTTTAGCTAAATAAGACCTAACATTTGGGGTTATATCCTCCTCCCACCTGGTATATGATTTCCGGGAATATAATCTTTTCTCATAACAATACTTTTCCTTTTTCAGTGTAGATTTTGACGCCCGAGATCCTCGCTGGGTTGGCGCTTGGTGGTTTCCCTTTGTTTTCACTTCGTTCATTTTTGTTTTACTGGCTATTCCTGTTTCCCTTTATCCAAAGGTAATGGCAGGTAAGTCTGTTAAAATAGTGTCCATTTCATCAACAACATAATACTATGCAGATTACAAATGACCAGCCTTTCATCTTCAGTTTCTTCTTTTCTGTTCATTGTTTTTCCTTTATCGTTCCTTCTTGACTTCTTTGATGTTAAACTGGAATCTACAATGACAATGGTGGTATAGTCTTGGGAGGGTGGTTGAGTATTTCAGAAAAGCACAGAAGGTACTTGAGCTTGTTCTTTAAAAATATTTGTAGAAAGTAGAACTTACAGATCACGAGTGAAACAGAAAGATCCAGACGACGAAATGACACTTTGTCAATTGGCGGAAAAATTGTTTAAGCTTTTCTTCAAAACCTTTTTAAAATTAGTAAGTTTATTTTCATTTTTGATTTTTTTTTAAATTATGATTTCTCCAGCAGTTAAGTTTGAATAACTGTTTTTTCTATGCTATTTAGATTAATAAATCTTAGATACGGGTCTACGCTAACTTTCAATTCTCCTTTGAAACAAAGAAAAAAAGAAAACAAAGAAAAAGAATGATATAAACTTGTTTTATATTGTGCACAGTATATAAAAATACGAATCAGTTGTATGTAAACTGAATGTTTCGTCAAGTAAATGTCTGCATACTTTAAATTTCTCCTCTCTTGGTACTTTTCACACAATTCAAGAAAATTTTCATGATTAAGATTTGTACCAGGTTTCATTTAAACCAGAATGATATTAAAGAAGTATTATCATAAATATGCTCTGCAGAAAAATAGATTTAGCTTATAGGGCAGACTGTGGATACGTTATAGAATAAGGTTCATTGAAATTTCTGTTAGAGTACCAGCAAATCTAAAATATATGTTACAACCTGTAATTTTATTCTAAAATATCTAATAGGACTGGAAAAAACTATGATGGATTCTTTAATCTTTCTTAATTTTTCATACTTTGAGCGATGGTTTTTCCGTTGTAGCTCAGGAACCCTGTCTTCATGTTACTAAATGTAGCCGGAAGTGTCCAGACGCTGATAATAGCAGGAGTTGGAGCATTTTCCTTCAAATTCCTAGCAGAGCAGTACAATTTAGATTTTGACACCTCTGGATATCTTATAGGTAAGATTGTTATTCAAATCTCTATTTAAAAAATCTTCTCATGAACAGCATGGCTATTGATTTGGTCATATTAGTAGGCAAGCATCTTTATACAACATGCATGTCAAACGTTTCAGTTACAATTTAAGAACAAGGAGCAAGCTTAAAGAATTCGGGAAACTTCCTCTTGAAAATTTAGATTTAACCTAGATATATTGTATGAAATTTTGTTTTATTTCACCTCGATGATACTGTAAATAACTTTTTATTCGCGAAAACTTTATTAACGCGTAATTACGCGAGACGAGAAATTTCATTCTCGCTTATATTTTTGTTAGAATAGGTTATTTACAACAATACCCAGAATTCGTGAAAATTTCGTCTGGCTTATAAATACCAAATACATATCTCGCGAAAATAAGGTGTCACAAAAATGGTGATCAACAGTAGTTTGGAGAGCTATTGTGATACCCACTGTTGGCGTCCGTAGAACCCTATTGCATTATACATGCTCTCTTGATATCTTCTGATTACTGTTATGCCGACAGTTTTCTTAGAACTGCCTGGTGTTTTATCATATATAGTGATTTTTTCGAGTTAGTAACAAGCAAGGTTTAGGCCCGAAGGGTGCAATTTCACTTGGGGGTGGGGTGGGGGTTGGGTCAAGGCACAACCAAACATTTTCAGTTTGGAGGGGGGGGGGCACTTCCAAGCAAAAATTCCTTGAAAAGCCAAAAAAAGTTCATTAGACGTTATCATTGAGGGGGCACAAGCATAGAGTAGCTATGTTTTCAATAGTATATTACATGTCGGCAAAATATTAGGGCACCCCCCCCCCCCGTCCCCTCAAGTTCCTACGGTCATGATGCTGCTTTGAAAATAAAAAATGTCATATGTTTGTTTTGAACTTCCTACCTAGGTGTTTTGATATTAGTGGGGTCGTTTGGAATGTTCCTTGGTGGTCTTCTGGTGCGGATTTTCAGGCTAGAAACATTAGGAATGATCAGACTTTCCACAGTGTCTACATTGTTGGCCTCTGTTCTCGGGATCGCTTTCCTGGCCGGATGTCCAGAAGTTCCACTAGCCGGATTAAAAGTGGCTTATCCAGAGCGGAAGTAATTAATAAAGTATCTCGTTAACTCATCCTTTATCACTTCTCTGTTATAATTGTAGGTTTTTTTATTTTGGCTATAATGTATCTATGTACAGTACAATAGATGGTTATTGGGATGCTTGTCACGCTTCCTGTAACTGTGAACACCAGGGATTCTCCACGGTCTGTGGGGTGGATCAAAACGTGTACTTTTCCCCTTGCCATGCTGGTTGTATGGATAGTATTGGAGTGGGTCCTACGGTAAGTTACAGTGTAAATGGATCGGTATAATTGATGATGCGAAATTTCCCTGTATTTTCTGACGAAACCTTTTTTTTGGCCAAAGCATTCGACTCAGACTCTCAGACTGGTAAGGATTATAATTGACTATCAAAAGACTTGACCGGAGGAACCGAAGGAGTTCAGTAATTTTGAGCAAAATGTGAAAATGGACCAGTAGCCCTTTTTGAATTCTATTTCTCAACAACAATCTCATGAGTAAGATTTTCCATAGGGGAATATCTGGATCTTAGTAATTTTTCCATTGGATATATCAAACTAAGAGGGTATATTTTCCATGCCGTCATGACCCTTAGATACAGTTTGGAGAAGGTGTAAACTTTAATATGCTCAGACAGTTCTAATTTTAATTGAGAAGTTGTTTAAACAGGCCACATATGCCAACTGTAGCTGTGTATCAGGCACGGCGACAGCCAGACCTGGACGATGTGAGGACAATTGTACCCAGCTTACAATTCTAGCCCCTTGTATGTTTATAGCATTGCTTGCGGTTCTGACCGCTGCAACGCCTACATCAATGGCAACAATGAGGTAAAATAAATTAAGCCAAAGTAGTTATAATAACCATACATTCGTTTTTTATGTTTCATTTCCAGCGAGAAAACTTATTGCTGTGTTATTAAGGTACAATTACTCAATTTAAATCTTTATTTAACATTTTGTAGATGTGTAGATGAACAAGATAAGCCATTCGCTCTTGGTATACAGAGGATATTTTTACAATTGTTAGGCAAGAAATCGTACTTTCTATACATTGGGGGGGGGGGGGGAGAGGGGGTGTTGCAATATTTCTTTAAGAATTAACAAGAATTCTTAAGGCTCTCATTTTAAAACAATTTTTCATTTAATTTTCTAGGTATGATCCCGGGTCCAGTGTTAGTTGGCTGGGTCCTGGACCAGTCTTGTTTGTTGTGGTCCAGTAGTTCGTGCGGGTCCACAGGTTCCTGTTTGCTTTACAGTCACGACAAGATGGCGCTAGGGGTCATGCTGTGGTGGGTGATCGTGTCCTTTGCATCTTCAGTCCTTTTCTTCTCGGCTTCTGTCATAGTCGCTTGTCGAAAATCGTCCAAGTTTGATGAGATAAATTCAGAAGAAAAGGAAAGAGAGATAGTGATCACACCATTTTAACTTGACACAAACTTTACTGAGAGATAAAACGAATTTTTTTCTTATTAAAATTTGTACGGAATTATCCTCAGAGTTATAGTGGGATTAAGGAGTGTAAAAATAATCATTCTTGATATAAAAAAATTTAATCTTTCATAAAAAGAAGTGATTTGTGTGAATTGCGGTGATTTGTTGTTTGAAATGTTTACTTCTTCGAGAAATCTTTTTTTTTCCTTTAAATTATATTTTTGGTTGATTTGTAAATAAGAATTTTAATCAGCTCAATATGTGGTTTTGCTAATTGATATACTGTTGTTCAGTTTCCTAAGTTTATAGTTTGGGGGGGGGGGGGGGGGAATAATTTAGTGCTTAAGATGTGAAAAAGTATTCTAAATTCATTTTTTGTGTTTATCTTATCTATAATGTTTGTTCAAAAATAGCCACACTAGTTTTTTTCTGTATGAATATGTCGTATAATTGTGATTATAAGCTTGTATTAAGCAAATAAAGAATAATTATTTATATGCTGTAAATCAACTTTTTTGTACATCTATTTCCATGCACTTTCCATTTATAAAGTGGACGTATGATTTTATGGAAAGAGGGATTAGATTTAAACACATGCATTTGTAACTTTACTTATAATGAGAATTTTATTTTGTTATTTTGATACTGTTAATAAATCAGCATAATTATCTATAGTAAATGTGCTACGGGATTAAAAACTTCAATTGAATTTCCCTTTTTAATACGAATCGTATCTGTCGATATTGAATGCAGTACCGCTTTGCGTACCTTAAAAAATCCCGTAGAATCCTGGAGTAAAGGACAGAGCTGGGCTACAAAGTTCTCATAATTGACGATTTCTGAAAAGAATGAAACGATTATACGATTCTTAGAGGTTTTTACTACTACATTAATAATATCAAGTTTTATGAATTCATAACATGTAAATACAATTGTTGTTGTTAAAAGCACAGCGTTCTTGTCGATTGTGGATCTATATTGTAGTTTTAAAATGTTTTGATTTTTAGTTTCAGAATTCTTTTGCTTTTTATTAATCTTAATTATCTCTTTAGGTCCTTGAAGGGAAAAAGGAGTTTTTCGCCCTTTACCAACGGATTCTTAATTTCTTGTTGATTTATTTTTTAAAAGAAAAATATATTTATCGAATGCATTGCATGAGCAAAATTGCTGAAACTTTATCAACAGTAAAAATTTCCAGATTTCAAAATAATGTTACCTAAATAAGTTTACAGAACACGTTCTCCTGAAGTTTTTGCTTGACACTTTACTCAAGAAAAGACCAACTGACTAAAAAGAACAGATTAACTGACTAAAAAACAGATTAAATGACAAAAAGAACAGATTAAATGACAAATTCAAAGCAAAGAAAGATTGAAGGTGAAGCTATGGAGATTAAATTTACTAATTGGTCGTTTGTTCGGAACTTTGAAAACTTTTGATTCATGTACTTTATTTTTTTGAAAATGGAAAATTTATTTACTATTGGTCTGTTTGTATAAAGGACCTTTGAGCATGTCGCACATGTAACGTCAGCAAACCATGTGACTACCAAACTAATTAAAAAATCAAGAATCTCAAATTACAAAGCGGTAACTATCCTTTAGTAAAATACAAAAGTAGATACATAAGCGTCTATATATCAACCTTTTGAAATTTTGATAGAAGTCCTTTAAGATTTTTAAGTTAATTAGAGGTCAGTAGCGGTGCAACAATACATCGATACATACTTGTATCGTATTGCTATATATTTAAGAAATAAACAACAATGTTAAAAAGTTCTCTGGGAAATGAACTTGGTTGGTCACGTGATCAAATCTTGTGAAGCCCGAAGGGCTTCTCAGAAGATTTGATCACGTACCAACCAAAAACATTTCCCACTGAACTTTTAACAATGTTGTTTATTACTTTTATTTACATTTGAGACGAATATTCTGAATAGAACTGCATTTATTACACGAACAGCCCGCCGTATTGCTATGTTGTGACGCGCAATGACCTAGAAGCTGTTTGGTCTTGAGAGTTCGCCTCGCTCCAACATTTGAATACTTACATTGATGTTCAGCAGTCCAGTTCAGGAAATATCTGTTCGTAATGAAAAAAAACAATGATCGTTACTGAGAATAATCTTACTATTATTGTATGAGTTCTTTATATATGAAGTCAAAAGCGGTGGTATCGTCTTCAGTTTACATACCTTCAAAGGGATTTCGGGTTAAAAAGGTAAGCGTGATTTTGGGCTAATTAAAACATTCTTCACATCGAAGAAAGGTCTAATGATCATTTGTTGAATGAAAAAAGAAAAACATATATGTTTCAATAATTTTAGCTTTTTCATCGTTTTAACAGCTTAGAAGTTCTGAAACCAGTTTCACCGTGACAGAAATATGTAGACAAGATATCATCTCGCTCTGTGATTCGGACACGCTATGACCTCTGACCCCCTAATAAGTTCACACTCGGCACACCTCGGCTGTATCATGTAAACCTCCATTGAACCGGAGCTACTTTATACCCAATATGGCTGCGCCCTACATATACACGTACACAGTGTGCTGAATTCGATCCGTTAACAAACATGTGATTATGTAAAGATACTTAGTGCATTTTTCTTGGTAAGTGTTATTCTTAGTGGTACCTAAATGTTTTTGAAAATTTTTATCGTATATCAGATGCATGTTTATTATCGTTTTCAAAGCGTTACGTTTTCCCTAAGCGGTAAACAGGCAGCCTTATCACAAATGTTAAGCGGAGACGCATATCAAGTTTCCTCGTACAGCCGAGGTTTGATGAAGGTGACGGAATCAGCCGAGGTTTGCCGAATGAATAAGTTCATACAGAATTGAACATATTTTCTTTTCAATAGGTTCATCTAAGAAAAATATTTGCAAATGTAAATAAAATCCGGATACTTGTATATCAAGATATAAAACATCTTAAGGTATTTCAACCCTCCTGTGATGTCATAGGTTTTAGCAAAAACTGTTAACTTATTAATTTAAATTCATACCCCATAGAAACATATCTTTTAGAAAAATGTTTTTCAATGAGTGTAATGACAAATATTGTTTAGGAAAAGAATTTTAAAAATGAATATTTTCTTTAATTAATCAATTCAATTTTTAAAAAGTGTTGCTAAGGGCAATAACTCTTTCTCGTGTATCTGTATTCAGGCATTTTCCTTATTGTACTTCTAATGTAAAATTATTTCCCTGATATTCACAATTTAAACATGATATTTATTATGTCAATTATTTTCGAACTTTCAGCATCACAATTATATATTTGAACCAGTTTTTACATTATTTTTATAATACTGTTTACTAAAAATGTACAATATTTTTTTAATGCTGACATATGCCTTTGTTTATTTATGTCTTATATCTTGAAAAATTTGGCAATCTATATATTTGTTGCGATTATTCATTAATTAAACTATATTCAGTGAAAATAAATGCAGTTTTCCTATTTTTAACCCATAAAATTGCAAGGATGGAAATACCTTTAGCAAGTTATTTCTTTTTAAGTCTACCCTGAAAAAGTGATTTTCTTTAATTATGTTGTTTTATTGTGTTAAGAACTATTTAAATGTTACCTATATTGATAATTGAAATAGACAATTTCTCATTTAAGAACATATTACACCTCTAGAAGTCAGACGTACCATATTTCATTTATGGAATCCTCGTCTGGTGGTCGCTCTGAAATGAGGTCAAAAACATGAATTACGTAGGTATTTACTTACATTTATTACTCCCGTTTAAAATCTTGAAAGGAAGTGATAATTACTGACGCCTTTTTCTATTTGCAGCACATATTAAACTTTGTGTGGATCCATGGAGGTTTCCTTACAAACAAAGATACATAGCGAGTTCTAGTAAATGTTATACCAAGCCTCTTTCTTAAATTACCGCTCACGAAAATATTGTTTTGTTTTGAACTTATTTCATCGTATAATTAATACAAAGGGATTGGTTACAAGGTCTAACAACTTGGAAAAACCTTTCCCAGTAATATATACAATAATCGTAATGATTGTCGAACAAAATATTTCAAAGACACTTATTGCCTGACGCCACGTGCGTCAGGCAGTATAAGGATTAATTTTTCAGGGATCCGAAACTAAGCGATCATTCTTAATGAACTAGATTTTGTGCAAGCTGATTTACATCGGAATTTGTTACCTGCATTTAAACAAATACTGCTTGCAGAAAAAAGAATCATATAACTGATGCAAAATAATGATATGTTTAATTCCTTCAGTTTTTGTTGCATGCACATGTTTATTCTTTGCTATCTTTGCACGGACATGTCCGTGTAACATTTTTTCTGCGTTTCTAAACTACTGGATCAGTCCATTTGCCTTCTACGAAAGGGGTGACACAATCATTTCGCGCCAAATGTCACATGTAAATTATCTTCGCGCCTTTTTCTTGGGTTGTCCTATTGAATGGGTGTGATAACTTCTATGGAAATAATAAAAGTTTATTCTTTTAACTTGATTCTTAAGCTCCTGATTTTTTATTAACAGTAAATTGTATCTCATTTTTTTAAGAGAACACATTGTATATGGACAGGCAACACTAAAGCAATGGATTTGCTGATTATTCTTACTATTTATCCCATAAGTGGACTAGTCTGATCATAAACAAACTCCCTCCACCTAGTAAATGGGACATCCCTTCTTGATTCATTCTGTTTTCCACCTAGCCTTTCTTTCAATATTACATTTATTAATAATGTACGTTACAAGGTTAGGTTTTTATTATTATTATTTCATGCTTTGTGATGAACAAGGGTTTCCTTTTATACAGTGACAAGAGTGTAGGTCAGTACCCGTAGAGGAATGGGCTTCACTCCCGGAAGGTTCTAAGTTTTGTTTGTTTGTTTGTTGTTTATAAGGTTCTAAGTAAAGAATCGGCAAAATGAAGAAGACATCATGATCTGAACTGGTTTTCATTTCATAAAAAGTACGTTATTATAATTTTGAGAAAGGTCCTGAAATCGATTGAAAAGAAAAACTAAACAATTTCAAAATTTTATATAAAGATGTATTCTAAACTCATTTATAATACATGTACATGTATATGGTAAGACCATCATCGTGTGAGTTTTGTCCGGGGGGAGGGGGGGTTAATAGTATCTTGTTTTGCGCTAGCTATAAAGTGTACAGGTCATTTATTTTGATTTCTAGAGCAGCATTGAAGCATTTTTGTCTCAAATACTTCAAGACAACTTTCCCAGTTAAAACTGTTCATAATTTACTTCGTCGTCGAGAACGATGGAAAACAGACCAGTCTATAAATAGAGACCGTCTCATCAATTAATCACTGACCAGGGAGTGTGCATGAAGAAGCGCGCCCTCTAGTAAGAGAGTACATGTAATATGAATTTCTTTAAAAAGAATCATCTAACTATTTTTCCCAGAATTATCAGTGGCGGATC